TCTCGTTGTACTGCAGCCGCTTGGCTTTTATACTATATTCATGTTGACGCAGTCCACAAGAATTCCTCCCAAATTTCGGGTGTAAACTTGCTGATCTTTGGTCCATCATTTGGTGGACATTATCAGAGCTGGGTCTTATTCTTGTAAGAGCCTCACGTTAACACTAGGCCAAAAACACAATCCGGCTCTATCTTACTTCTTATATAGACTCAATTGAGCCAAATAAAATTAAAAACCTAGATAAATCGATAAAGAGTGGTTTGGTTAATTATCTTTCATATTAATCCTGTTACTTTAGCTCGAGTGTGTGCGTGTTAGCGTCTATATACAATACGGTTCCTAAATCAGAGTTGTCAAAAGTTTCAATCTCAGGTTCTTATCCTCAAAACCTAATGACCCAAGAAAAAGCCTTGTCTGAGACTGCGTAGGTCTGTAACCAATTTTGGTTGAGATAATGATAGATGAGCTTGTAAGTATAAAAATCAAGTTACTAAACAATTTGTCTTAACCTTTCAGTCTAGAGTCATTAACGTTTAACCCTCCAAGAAAAGGTAAGACTGGGGTTGCGTAATCTGACATGTCTGGTTTGGTTGATGAGCTTACTCTAACATGTTAGACGAATGAGAGTGAAATTAGAAACATCACTGAGCAGACAAATTAAGTCGCCTTCTTTTGGACGGTGGCTCAACACCCTCTCTCTTTTTCAGTCTCTTAATCAAGCATAAGTAGTTCTTATTCAACTTTCTACCAACGTTCCTCACATTCAATGTATTTCCTAAGCTATTAATTTCAATAGCATCTCTAATCTTTCTTTTAACCACAGACGAACCATAATCAGCAAATCTATTAATTTGAGACGATTTTATTTCATGTCCAGTTTCTACCCCGTGTTTGACCAGTTCTGACTGTGAGATCCAGCTTCCTTTACAAGCATTTTTGTGTTCTCCCAATCTTTCTCGAATAGGTCGGCATGGCTCACCAATATAACATCGACCACATGAGCAAACAATCTTGTAGCAGCTTGATCTCGATACTGGGTCATATTTCTCTCTAAAAGATGGCATGACAGAGGAAAGTGTGAAGGTTTCTTTGGACACTGTTTTTATGCTCCAATTCTTTATTAATTCGCCTATCCTTTTAGATAGAAGGAATGATGGTAAAATTAGGACATAAGAAAAGTTCTCAGTCTGTCTCTCCCTGACTAAATGGTCTCCGTCTGAAAATTTATTCCTCAATAGAGTGATATTATTATCAATAAGGACTAAAGGAGAATCATTTTCCAGGAATATATTTGTCAGCCTTTGCAACTCTTTAGCCAAATGTTTGCTATCCGCTAACCTCAAACTTCTAAGAAACATTTAATTTAAAATTCCAAACTTAGTCTTGTAAATATGATTGGAAAGAAGATTAAAGATAAGGCAATCAATTTATCTAGTACAACTCTGGAGAATTGTGAAGTACTTTTATTAGAAAAAGAATTGATTTTTGCTCTTCCAAGTAAGGTAAACCATTCTCTGGAAATACTTGTTTGATTAATTAGCTTATCTGATAGATTGCCTGATTAGGTAAGGAATAGTGTTAAACTGGAGGTTATCTCTCATTTTGACCATATAATATCACCTAAGAAAGATTTTCATCTTAGTAGGATTTCTAGATATATGTATGATAATAATCTAATCATAAGGAAAGATGACAAATGTAGAGCAATGGTAGTCATGGCTAAGACAAGTTATGTAGAAAAAATGCTAGTTTTTTAAATTACAATGATACTTTTAGACTAATATTAAGAGACGAGCATAAACACTTAAGACTAGGTTAAAGGATGTTCTTAAGGTATGCGAAGTAATGCTGAAATGGGAAATCGGAAAATGAATTAACTAATCCAGAGAGATACAAGGCCCCCACAGCTTACAGTCTACCTGAAGTTATTGAAGAGGGTGCCCCCTAATATTATTTGTAAATAATAAAGGAAGTGTGATGCATAAAATCTCACGGTATTTATGCATGCAATTAAGGAACTCTGCCAATTATTAGCTATGTTCAATTAAAAATTCGTATGATTTTGTGAAATTGCTAGATCAGCAGACAATTTCAGAAGAGGATAAGCTAGTAAGCTTTGACTTTGTGTCTATGTACACAAACATTCCTGTCCAAGGAGCTATTCAAACTTTGATACAAACTTTGGAGGAACATCTAGAGATAACACAAGGAATAAGGCTAAGTCTAGCTTCCATTGTTAGACTTATTAACCAATCCATAATACCATATATTTTACCTTTGGTGGTAAGTTATGCAAACAAACGCACAGATAAGCGATGGGATCTTGCCTGTCTCACAACTTAGCAAACAATTATTATGCAAGATTTAAGAAACACTTCCTGGAAGAAGCAATAGTAACACCCAAATTGTTGGTTAGATATATGGATGACTATTTTGTCCTCTGGCCTCATGGTAAGGACAATTTAGATAGTTTCCTACTTTCACTCAACCAGCGTCTAAGGAAAATTAGGTTCACGATGTAAATGGAAAAAGGATAGGCGAATTAATAAATAAGGGAGCATAAAAACAGTGTTCAAAGAAACTCTTATACTTTCTTCTGTTATGCCATCATTTAGAGAGAAATATGACCCAATATCGAGATCCGGCTGCTACAAGATTGTTTGCTCATGTGTTCGATGTTATGTTGGTGAGACATACCGACCTATTCGAGAAAGATTGATAGAACACAAAAATACTTGCAAAGGTAGCTGGATCCCACAGTCAGAAGTGACCGAACACATGGTAGAAACGGGACATGAAATAAAACGGTCTCAAATTAGTAGGTTTTCTGATTACTGTACGTCTGAGTTTAAAAGAAAGATAAGAGAGGCAATTGAAATTAATAGCTTAAGAACTACGTTGAATGTGAGAAACGGAGTTAGATAGTTGAGTAGGAATTACTTATGCTTGATTGATAGATTAAAAGAGAGAGAGGGTGTTGATCCACATTTTAAAAAACGATTCAATTTATCTGATCAGGGATGATTTTAATTTCACTCACTTTCGCCCAAAATGTTAGAGTAACGTCTTCAAACAAACTAGACATTTCAGATTACGCAACCCCAGTCTTGCCTTTTCTTTTAGAGTTAAACATTAATGACCCTTCACGAAAAGCTTAGGACAAGTGTTTTCGTAACTTGATTATCATGCTTACAAGCTTATATTTCATTATCTCAACCAGCTTTATTTACGGACCAAGGCAGTCTCGGTCAAAGAATGTCTCTTTGGTCATTAGGTCCTGAGGATCAGAACCTGAGATTTAACCTCTGACAACTCTGATTTAGGAACCGTTTTGCATATAGACGCTAACACTCACAAATATATATACTCCTACAATCAAGCAAAAGTAAAAAAAATGAGTATGAAAGAAAATTAATCAAAGCACTCTATATCGATCTAGCTAGGTTTTTTAACTTTTAATTTGATTAGGTCTATATAAGAAATAAGATAGAGCCGGATAGTGTTCTTGCTTTAGCGTTAACGTTAGACTTTTAAAAGAATGACACCCAGCCCTGATGATGTCCATCATATGATGGACGAAAGCTCAGCACGTTTTCAGCCGAAATGAGGGAGGAAGCCTCACGGACTGCGTCAACATTAATATCGTATAAAAGCCAAACGGCTGCAGTACAAGAGTTTCATCCGTCCTCATCTGGTGAGATCGACCAACGAATCACTTATTCACGCACTTTCATTCGAAATGAAGGTCCCCCTAACAAGGTCAAGCAACTTCTACAATAGCATTTTGTTGAATAATTTACTGTCTTACATTGTGAGAAAGATAGATTGAAGGAACTCATTGCGCTGTTAAATGAATTATTCGAAACTAAGAAGTTTAATATTAAGTTATAAAGTAAGAACAAACAGTCATTTATGAATGTATTAGTTAAAAAAGTTAGTAAGTTGCTAGAGACGTGAAAGGAAACTAACTAATGCATGTTTTCACATTAACTTTATATCTAATAATGCATTTAGCGTTAAAACAGGATTTCTGAAATCGATTTTTATAAGGAATCTGCGCCTAGAATAGTTAACTATGTAGCAAGGGAATCTGTAGGTTGAGGGATAGAGTATTTAAGAACAGCTATCCACTTAACTTCATAGATGGGCACGTTTCAATACTTATAAATAATGTAGGGAAACTGCTAATTAGGGTAAGATATTCAGATAAACCACTCAACTTGGTTCCTGATTTAAGCGTTCTGTAACCTTGCGAAAAGTAAGTTATATAAACGAATACTGTATAAAGATAACCTAGCACCTTCTTTTCGATAATTCTTACATATTCTTTCATGCTCAGGTTGCTACAAGGTACAATTGAATCATGGGATGCTTCATTTATATCGCAAAATTTGATATAAGAATTGAGTAGGTCCTCCTGGTTTAGTGTATTGCTGCGTGGTGTTACCACAAATAAGAGGCGATATGACTTGATTCTGTGAATATTCATAAAGCAGTTTTGTAGATTTTATGTGATTTCGGTATAAGTAAAGTTTTTACATTGGCGTATCATACAAAGACCTTATACAGCTGCTAATTTAATTGATCTTTTGAGGTATGTGACTTGATTTTGACGCTAGCTAAGGTTGTTAATGATTTTACTTCTGACAATAATTAGTATATGTTTCTGCAAGAATAGATATTATAAAAAGCAATTAATATAATTTATTTTATTTTATACGCTAAAAACCACAGAAATAATTGTAAATTAAGAATATACTCTTGCCTTGGAACAAAATAATTGCCTATATATTTTATCTACGTTCCAATTGTCTTCCTCTGGCGGCGGTCCTTATGCGGTCAGCTTTCCCTACTCACGCTCTCTTACATTATATTCTTTCTTATAACAATGGATGTAGATGAAATCAAAAAGATAGAGGACATAATATGCAATAATTTTAATTCTGGACTTTTAAGCCATGAATCTCATAAAAGGCTTTTAGACCTTCAAGCTTCCTATAATGGATGGCACGTTTGTTGGCTCTTCTTGCAGCCTTCCAGATCTCTAAATGTACAGATATTTGGTGCCTCCTGTTTATGTAATAAGATCATGCTTAATGTAATTTTCATTTTTAACCAAAACTGTTTCAGTTTGCTGATCTTGACGAAAATGAAATCATTCAACTGCGTGATAGTTTAGTAAATAAGCTAATTGAATATGCACTTAGCTGGGAATCTGATTTTCAAAATTATAACCATGTTGTTATACTTAAAATTTGCGAATGTCTTTCTCTTGTCATTTTTGAAATTACTCCTAATATATGGGAGTATCCTGTTAACGAATTTATCAGCATCCTTATACGTACGTCACCTGCCATGTTTTTTCTTTATTTTTATCCTTTATATATTTTTTTTATCTTATACAATTTTAGGGTCCTCCTACAACGGCATTGATATCGGATCAGATTCACATCCAGATGTGGAATATCTTTTTCGCAATGACCATTTGTTAAAAATTGCAATGTATTTTTTAACCACATTTGCTGAAAAGTTTGGCACCCAGGAGCTTTCTTATCACCGTAAAAATGAGCTCAAGCAGTCACTAATTCGGGGATCCGATATTGTGTGCCGAGTCGTTCAAGTAATAGTTCATGTTCCTTTAGAACTGCTTTTTTATTAATTTGTATTGCATGCGTAATAGACTAAAAGCATTCTGCTTAGTTTATAGTATCTAACATATTATTCGCTTCTGCACTCTTGATTATGTTGCAATTGGACCAATTTTCTTTTCTCATTGTATTTCGTGCTGCCATTTTTTAATCAAGTGACAAGATATGTTCAGCATAATCTCTATGTCTTGCACCCTTTTGGTTCATCGAATTACTCTGTAAAAGTATTTTTCAAATGTAGACGGTTGCTGGCAAGTTAAGTCTAATCCTGTTTGCTTTTATATCTATAATGTTGACCTAGCCTTTATCGATTACTTCGATAAATCTTAAGCAAATACTTAAAACTTATAGTTCTGTTAAAATACTTATTAAATTTACTTAACTTCATCTTCACGTGATTATCCTACATGAAAGGAAACTTGCTCCATTTTCTCTTTATTTAGAGTCTTTTAATGCACACATCAGAAGAGCTTCGAGCAAGCGGCCTCAAATTATTCTCTCTTTGGGTGACGACTTTCGATACTAACTGTCAAAAGGTGGTGTTAAGCATGAATAGCACTGTCGGCAACCTTATGATGCGTATTTACGAGGTTATGCAACTCTCTGACAAAATATACCACACCGGGGCTGACTGCCTTGCTCTTATTTTTTCCAGGACCAAAGCAGCCGATACTGACAGGTGAGTGCTTAATTATTTGTCCTAATTAGCTTATAAGATGCCTTGGAAAATTCTTGCTCAAAAAATCTCTTAACTGCAAGCTATTTAAAGTACACCAATTACTGCGCGCCTAAAATGTATTCAGCTACTATCTATATTTGTATATGAATATGTTTCCCTCCGAAAAATCATGAATTCTTGTGATTCGACTTTTTATCTCGAAGATAAAAATATTTGAAGGTGATTTTTGAATTCCCTTCTCCGTAAGACTCGATGAAGATCTCCTTTAAGTAAAGGCAGCTGAATTGTGCAAAGTAGTTCTCCGCTCATCGTTCTGCGATTTCAATAAATCCATGCTGAGCTTTCATTTGTCATGTGACACGCCTTATAAGAGAGAAATGCCATAGTTTGCAGAACAGTGTACCAGTATACTAAACTAGGGAAAAAGCTTTCCCGCTAGAAACCTAATTTTTACATCATAATGAGATTACTCTATGCTCACCTTATATGCTTGGAAGCGTTAAAAGAAAGTGGATGTAGTCACAGCTGCTTCTTTATATAAACAAACTAGTATTTTATCCTGTAAGGGTGGCGTGTGTCTAATTAATAGGTGCTGGGTATTTTTTGTGTATTATGTCTAAGACATCAGGCGATAGAGCCTTAATCAGACTCGTATCTATTCAAGTCAGCTCTTGCTTAGTGGTCCTTCCTTCTCAAGCTTATCCAACAGCCACTTTCTTACTTTCGTTTCTCCTTTTCAGGACAGGAGCTATTTTTATAGACTCCATTATCATACAAGTAGATCTAAAATCCCTGCAGCCTGCAAAACTTTGTCTTATGAACGATTTTATTATGTCATTTATTAGCCATATGTTCGGCCACTTCATAACTCCTACCTTCACGCCACACGTATGATTATAAAAAAA